GTTTGGATAAATTCCACCATCAATGCATCCGGACTGTCCTCAGCATCACCAAGCCTCGTCAGTGGTCCGAGCGGCTGTCATCCACAGACTTGTTGAACCGTTGGGGAGACCCAGTACTGATGTCTACACGCCTCCGCAATCGGCGTCTGGAATGGACTGGGCACGTTGCGCGTATGGATGAGGATCGCACCCCCCTCCAACTCCTCTTTGGGTGGCTACCTGTGCCTCGGCCGTTCTGTGGTCCCCGGCGACGGTGGAAAGACACGGTGATGACCGACCTCAAGGTTGCACTGCAACAGCCATCTCAGTGGTTCATCCTTGCTCAGGACCGCCAACAGTGGAGGGAAGTACGGGTTGCCCCTCAGTCGAGCTCCACCATGCCCAAGTCTGTGCATTGCGCAGTGTGTGACCGGAACTTCTCACGGGTCTCAGATAGAACGCGGCACAAGTGCACCACTCAGAGACGGCTTCCCATCCAGCTCCAGCGTGGATCAGTGCAATGCCAGAACTGCCAGAGGTGGTTCCGCAGCAAGGGTGGCTACTCTGTTCATCGATGCCAGCCTGTCACGAGTTCTCCTACACCCACAGTCAGTCTGTCTGTGCCACTTTCAGCTTGTTGCCAGCAGCACTGCCCAACATGTCAGCGATGCTTCCGTTCTGCGGCCGGGTTCAAGCGCCACAGCTGCAATCGTGGTGCGAGACCATCTGCTGCTGAGAGAGCAGCTCTGCCCCTCAGCTGCCCACGTTGTAAACGCAATTTCCGCCGGCAGCAGGACCTAGCCAGACATTCGCGGTCCTGCTTGTGATCCGTGTCCCGTTTTCTGGTCCCCTTTCCATAGGGGTGACACTTGCCCCTCTGGGCAGTCATGCTGCTAGTAGTAGTAGTAGTAGTAGTGTGTGTGTGTGTGTGTGTGTGCGTGTTTTATTCTCTTCTTCTTCAGTCATTGTTTCTCTCTATTTTTCTCATCGTCTTATTATTTCCCGCGAGGTCGCGGTTCTTTTTCACTCAGAGGAGGTATGTTAGGTACCTCCTCCCGTACCTTTTCTGGCTGGCCTGCATGCATGTGGTTGTAATTGAACACATCGTATTTGTAGCACTCTTGTACTCACCTTTTGTCTCCTTTCGTTCTGTTGGCCTGGGTAGCTACTTGCGCGCCCAGAATTGCCATAGCTTCCCAGGCCCTTTATCTTGTCATTCACTCTTGATCTCTACCTTTTGAGTCACTCTCCCATAATGTAGTCGTAGTACTTCGTCTTTGTCCGAGTCTCTTCATCGTCTATAATAAATGTCGTTCTACATACCTGTCCCGTTGTCCGTTGTGTCTGGAGACCTGAGTGAAAGCCAAACTTAACAGTAACTTATAGGTCTTTTTCTTTTTGCATGATATCCAGTCAGGAGAATGAAGTTGAAGACACCACTGCAGCTGTACTTATGGTTGATGTAAATACACCACCTGCTCACACGCTCTCCTTCTCACCATCACCACCACCACCATCAGTTCGCGCCTGGCGCCTAGTCGGTGCAGGGTTGGCGGTATCCGACATAGCATGCTGGTATATCAAGTAGGGCATGACACATAGAAGATGACACAGCAACGACATAGCTCGATTGCGACATACGTTTCGTCCCCGTTGGACTCATCAGGCAATCTTCTTCTTGGATGTCTTCAGCTCCGTATTAAGACATCCAAGAAGAGGATTGCCTGATGAGTCCAGCGGGGACGAAATGTACGTTGCAATCGAGCTATGTCGTTGCTGTGTCATTTTCTATGTGCCATGCGCTACTTGATGTAGCAGCCTGCTATGTCGGATACCGCTAACCATGCATCGACTAGGCGCCAGGCGCGAACTGATGGTGGTGGTGGTGAGAAGGAGAGCTCTGTGCCAGAACCGAAGTTTGCAGCCTAGAGAGCGTGTTTTAGAGATCCTACTCTGGTTCTGCCCGTACTAGTAGTAGTAGAATCCTAAAGGACGTTTTGGCTCTTCGTTGAGCTCATTTAGTTATTACACATAGACACTCAGTGTCTTTCCACTCGGAAACAATTCTCCTCATACTTCAGTAAGAATCATTATCATTAGTATCAGAGATACTCAAACTCGTGACTGTCCTCCAAGTAGTAATGATGAGGAAGCGTCTACATCACGACGGCTGGTGTAGATATTCCCACCAGCCGTACGCGACGCAGAAAATGCTAGTGTCAGGATAGGGACATCGTGGAGGCGAATAGAGACATACCGTAGAAGTCTCAGGTAAACAAAAGCAACACGACAGGAAAAGAAGAAGACTGTATAACCATAAACGGGACAAGTCATGGCAGTAAGTATGGATCTAGAAAACGGATGGGAACAGGGTTGACTTGACATAGAACGTACATGTAACAATAAATCGTAGTGTTGTCCGATGGTAACACACAGTAGCCATAAATACAAGAGATGCATGCAGCTGTCAAATCAAGAGTCAATGTACAGAGTGAAGACGCATGCAATATCTAACACTCCCTCCTTTGAGGTACAATATCTAACAGCGTGCGTGGGCAGGCGTGTATTTACCGCCATATTGCCAGGTGTGTCTTTACCACCATATTTATCAATCATGTTATCCAATCGCTTAGAAATTTATATGAGAAAAATTGCGTGAGCTGCCTGAGCAATATCCCGAAGAAATTTCTCAAAAAAACTCAAGATTTTATTCCCGTAGCTATGCAGAAGACGTTACTTCAGTAACGTCTGGCGCTAGCCAGGGTCCACACAGCTTTAATTTGGTATTAAATATTTTATGTGTGTGTTTGTTTGTTTATTTGTTTGTGTGTTTGTGTCACGCCTGGCGTTATCCCGTATCTGTCCCGTACCGTACCGTACCATCAAACACAGCTGGCCACATACAGCTGGCCGCAATATTCAAATAGGGCTTTTAAACGCAAGATCATAACGTGAAGCAACTTGGAAGAATGGGTATGAATGCGAAGTGTATGGGGGAATGCATGTAGGGCGATAGTGCGGGTTCGAATCCCAGGATATGCCTGAAAAAAAAAAACCAGCAGAATTGAAAAATGTATAACATCCCTATGCGTTTTTTGCCGTCATCCAGGCGGTAGACGGTGTCGTATTACCCTCGATCGTACCTGTCCCGTACCTATCCCGTACCATACCATCAAAGATGGCTGGCCACAATGCTTATTCAAATAGGGCTTTCAAATGCAAGATCATAACAAAAGTGTGAAGCAACTTGGAAGAACTAATATGTATGTGAAGTGTATCGGGGGATGCATGCAGGGCGCGCGATAGTGCGGGTTCGAATCCCAGGTTATGTCTTTAAAAAAAGGATTTTTTTAAAGAATTTCTAACATCCCTATGCTTTTTTTTGTCTAGGTCATCAAGGCAATAAAGCATAGCATAGGGCCCTGAGCTTCCAAGCTCTCTCGTTTAAACTCGGATACTGAGCCAGTAATAAAGGTAAAAAAAGAGAAGAAACACATGAGAACGAGTTATGCAGCAACTATCCACGACTGTAACAAGATGATAAACGATCAGATTTGGTCCTACGTAACCATGAACCTTCCAAGTTGGAAGGCTGTTGGTTTGCGGACTGGAGATGTGTTGGAGCTAGGTCTCGGGTCGCTGAATGTCTCAGTAGCCTGTCAGTTTGTGCCCTATTAGCACACTTTCTGACCGTTTATCATCTTGTTACAGTCGTGGATAGTTGCTGCATAACTCGTTCTCATGTGTTTCTTCTCTTTTTTACAAGATTTTATGATCCGAAAAAGTCTAGAGGTCTATACGTTTACGTCTATACGCATTATAGAAGCCCCACAGAGCCAGCGGATTTGTTCTTTTTGTTATTCTTATGATTTGTGCTTTCACATTTAAGAATTTTTCCATGATCGTGAGGTGGTGTGTTGTGAGTTAAAAGTTTTTGAGGTTATCATTTCCCACATGCGTGATAGCGATCGTGGCTGGTGTTCTGGGTGGGTAGGCGGAGTTTTTATAATCTGCAGTGCAGGCTGACGTATTTTATGGGTGTGACTGGTGTGGTATAAATGAGTGATTGGTGTGATTTTTCCTCTTTTCCTCTGTTTAATTTTATTATTATTATTAGGATGATTACTCTTGCTCAACTCGGATGGTGAGCCAATTAAATTGTGGTGAAAAAGGAGAAATAAAAGGGGGGGGGTTGTCAACTGACAACCGCTCTGTTTAGTTGCTATTCACTCTTTAGATGAAAATTATTTTATTAATGATGTCGAAAATTATTGACGTTTCGGGCCAGTCACCCATCGTCAGAACAATGTACAAGGAGCGAACCTGGCCTTTTATAACGAAAACAAGTGAGAGCGTATGTAAAAAAAACACACAATAGCCGTATGCAATTGAGTGTCTGAATTTGCATGTACAACGGACAAGGAGAATTGCGCTGAAAGAGTAGGTATGCAACAGCTCAGCAGTGAAAAAGGAGAAGGACAAAATGAGCCTTCCAAGTTGGAAGGTTGTTGGTTTGCACCTTGGAGAAGTGTTGGAGCTAGGTGTCAGGTTGCCGAATGTCTCAGTGCTCCTTGTCAGCTTTGTGCCATTTTGTCGCACTCGCTGACTTTATAAGATCTGGTTGCGTTGGTGGACAGTTAGTCATAACTCGTAACACTTTGTCCTTCTCCTTTCTCACCATAATTCTACTCTTGGGAGGGAGTTATGTTGGAACAGTTAGTACGTTATTTTGTGTATGGCATGTGTCTACGGTGTTTGTGCATGGGCGTGTTGCTGTGGTGAGAAAAGCAGTCTTCATCTTGAGTTCGTCATGTCTAGTTGTGTTTCCATCATCTTGTCAAAATTATAGTCTTTCAAATTAAGTTATCTCGTCGACCATTGTCTGAGTGTGCAGATGGCACGGGGCTGGGAGCAGGTGAAGAAATTCAGTTACAACAGTTGTATTCGAGCATTGATTATCTTCACGATGGAAAGTGGAAGAGTGATATTGATTGAACGTTCTATCAACGGGTTGAACTTACGCGCACACATGGGAATCAGTGTGAAAGTTGGATTTTGGTGGCATTCTTTGTGGTAAATGACTTTTGTCAATTGATAGTTGGTGTTACATGTCACTTCGTAAAACCTGGCTTTTGTTAACACGGCTGTGGTAGTTACACGACCATTGTTTACACTTGGCGTTGTGCAGAAGGCTGTAAGATAGATTGCATCACAATTAAAGACACAAAGTGAAAGAGTTTATTCCCGTAGTTATGCAGAAGACGTTACTTCAGTAACATCTGGCGCTAGCCAGGGACCACACCGTTTTAATTTGGTGTTAGCATCCCCCCCAACTCACAACAGAGCAACCGAGTTTTAGATTAAAGCTGGAAGTGCCGATCCGAGCAACTGGTATGATGGCTCTGCTTGGAGCCGATAGCTGGCTCGCAGTTGAGCCAGCAAATGACTCCGCTTGGAGCAGCCGAATGACTCCGCATGGAGCCGGCAAATGACTCCGCATGGAGCCGGCGAATGACTCTGCATGGAGCCGCCGAATGACTCCGCATGGAGCCGCCAATGACTCCGCTTGGAGCCGCCAATGACTCCGCATGGAGCCGCCAATGACTCCGCATGGAGCCGCCAATGACTCTGAGTAGAGCCGCCAAATGCTAAATATATAGAGATGCATAACCAGTTGAGAGAATATATTTCATAAATCGGCACTCCCAGAGTGGATCATAAAGTGCAGCTACCCGTGAAAATTGTAGGCAGTGCAAGCTAGGTAACGAGTGACTAACAAAACTCGATATCATGGGTTGAGGCCATTGGTACAGCCACCCATGCTTTGGCTGCAGGTGGCGTCCGAATGTTACTCGGGCAGAAATCGCTTTCCACCTTCCCGCCTCTCTGAATATCGAGTCCTGCAGCTGATTCGAAACGAGTGGCCGGTGTACAACGCCAGGCCAAAGCCACAACTGATGAGCAATATCCTCGCAGTTGCTGTAAAGCCGATCGATTGGCATCCGCAGCTGATGCCGCTAGCTTTCCCAGGTGCTGCCACAATTGCAAACCACTCTTTGCGATTGCTGGTCTACTTGATTGACTGACCATCACCCTATCCCCGGTCGCAATTGTATGCGCACCAGCCAAGTGCACCACTTGCACCAGTGAATAGCAGCAAGTCGGGGACGGCGTCCACTTAGGGTGTAGGAAGAAGGACCGGCCGTTGTACTAATCCAGGAGCTCCGGCCATCAGCGAAGATCTTTGAGGCACTCTTCGGAGAGCTTGATCAGGTAATACGGCTGCCAGTACCAGTTGGCAAATGACCACAATCTCTAATGTGCGTCCTGGGACTATCACTCTTGTAGGAAACGAGAGCTTTCCCAGAAGATACTTGAGTTGACATTGGGTAGTTGAAGCTGTGTGAAGAGTGGCCTGTAGGTCGCGAAGCTTGGCAAGTTCGTCCATAGGCAGACTGATGTTAGCTCCCGGATGTCCAGGATGACGCCGATAAACGTCAGGACGTGGCTGGACCCCCCACTTTTGCTGACGCCAGAGAAACACCGAGGTATGTAAACGTACGACGCCGAGTAGCGAGTTGCTGCCGAGCTAACACAAGTCCAGAGCATGCATAGAGACAGAAACGTTAGTCGAGGTATTTCCCGTAATGGGATGATGCCAATAATGTCAGGACTTGAGCTGGGGCCAGAGAAACACCGAGGTATGTAAACGTTCGGAGCAGAATTATCTGAATAGCGAGTTGCTGGCGAGCTAACACAAGTCCAGAGCGTGCATTGAGGAAGTAACGTTAGCTGAGGTATCCCCGTAATGCAACAGGCGTGGGAGTGCAAACTGCTCGCACATAATCCATTCACTGGCAGATGCGACAGAGTTCCATATAGCTGGCCTGGAGCGTAGTACAGTCTGAAGGGCAGGACACTCTCATAAGAGTATTGATCCTGCCAGCGGATCAAGGGCCACTCCTCTGGGCGGACGTTAATTCGGCAGAATGTACTTTTAACATTGAGCTTAGCAAGATACACCGGGGCGAGCAATTGTCTTATCATCTTTGCAGCTTTGTTAATCTTGACATTGTGGAGAGATACGGTCTGCTGGAATGTAATCGTTGTCACTTTGACCCTCCAGGCTCTACAAATGGTGTGGCGTGTGTAACTTCCCGTTCATCTAGGAACCGCATCTACGCCGGAACAGCACAGAGCCGAGAAAGGGGTTGAAGAACACGGGGCCAGCTGTTTCAAGCCTGCTACAAGAAACGTATCGTTGCGCAGACATAACAGTATAGTCTTGGTTAGCATGTGACCGTGTTAAATTCAATGGATCTCAGTTAGATGAGTGGTTGCTGATGAAACCTACCACAACACCACAATTACGACTATGTGCAACATACATCCGGAGCAAAGGATCAGAATGTGAGTCCAGTAAGTTAGAGAAGTGAGAAACTGAGTGCTTACACAGTTACTGACGAGGCCTTACAGTTAGCCCTGGGGTTCTCCTGTCCGCATTGGAGGCAGCACTGCCTGAGCTGACACTTGCAAGCACCGTACTCATAGTGGCGGCATACGGTTGCGGTACATGATGCGAGTCTGGACTGGTGAGTTGGACGAAATGTGCACGGAAATGCTGGTGGGTGCACTGAGCTGCACTGCTGGCAGCACTGCTTGAGCTTACACGTGCAAGCGCCGTACTCGTAGTAGCGGCATACGGTTTCGGTACGTGATGCAAATCTGGACTGGTGAGTGGGACGAAATGCGCACGGAAATGCTGGCGGGTGCACAGAGCTGCACTGCTGGCCGGTGGGTCGTGCTGTTCCAGTATGCGTGAAGCGCAGTTGCCACAAGTTGATATTGATAACCTGGCTTGGGAGATTGTTATTTTTCATTGCTATCATCGTTCGGCCTCATTTCCTCAGTGCTGAGCTGATGAATCCACAAAGGATGAAACAGTTGTCCGCAGATGGAGTATTGATAACGTCCAATTTCTTGCTTTCGCCGCGGCGATCGTGGCCAAATACGTCGACAGGCACTCGCGAAACGGGGTGAGGGACAGTGGAACTCAAACCATTCATGAACAGTGTCCAGGCCTCAGCTCAAGTGCTACAGTCATGCAGCCTACGACGCACAGCTCTGGGTTCGGATTCAAATAAATGCTATTGCGCCAGAAGAGCAACAGGGGCTATGGAGTTGGAACGTCGCCGGAGCTGCACTAGAACTCACTGCAACTATTATATCGGGCAGCAAGAAATCGAAGTCTAGGAACTCGCCTCTCTAGACACGATCGAGAAGGGCCCGTATATAGGACAGTCAGGTTCACCTGCTGTTGGTGCTGCATGCGCATATGGCAGTCGTCACTGCACCGGGCTCCCCGTAGGGTCCGGCCTGCTGGCAGCGAGCGGCGACATGGATCCAATTAGAGTGGCGAGGAGAAGCTGGGTGGCATTGGTGACGGCAGTGGACGCGACGGGCTGAACTAACGTTGTTACTTCCAACAGAAAATCAAAATCCACGAAACTCGCCTCTCTGGATACGAAATACGATCGTCAGGCTCGCGCCTACTGTTGCAATGATGTTGCTGCGTGGCGGCCATCGCTGCGTTCGCAATAGGCGGGCGGCGGAGCCAGGTAGAGCGAGGAGATCCGGAGAGGCTGGACGCCCGTTGGTGACGACGACATTGTTTCAAGGCACAAACAAGGGTCGCTGAGATCGGAACTTGAAGCGTGATACTTCAGGAAACCTGATGATGGCGCAAGCTTAAAAGTCCACAGACGATGTTCCACTGTAGACGACGACATTGTTTCAGGCACCAACAGGCGTCATTGAAGTCTGAATTTGAAGCGTAGAGATACGAGAATGCAAGCTTGAAAATCTAAACGGAAGGAAATTGTTTGGGAACACATGTTCCGCAAGTTGCACGCTCAAAAGTCCACACAGCAATGACATGCAAGAGACATTGTACAAGGATTTTGAAGGGCGCGTGCCCACGTGACTCGCGCATGCGCACAGGTCGGGCCAGCTCGCAGGGCTGGCTGCTAACTCGCGTTAGCATGCTTATTTTGTGTTTACAAGTATGCACTACAAATGTAGGAAGGTGGTGATGGACTATAGTGATGCTGTACGAGTGTATGCGTAGGTGTGCAATATTGTATGCATGCTTATGAATAACACAAGCGATGCAATATGTACCTCATAGGCCCGTCCTGAACTAAGGTCAATTCCCAAATATACGCCCACTTCTCAGGTCTTTGTTCAGTATACGCCCGGAGCATATTTACGGACCTTTACGCTACTTGTTTCTTTTTTTTCGTGCTTGTCACTATACTTCCATGTCCTGCAGTATCAGCATCCCAAAAAAACCCGAATATTACACCTAACAAAACTTTTATGCATAGGGAAACAATGATTGCAAATGTAATGGCCTTCTTACGTTTGCATTGTCCAACGTCTGTCCAATCAGTACTGGTCATTGTAGCTCTGTCATCACAAATTGCATTTACCGAAGTAGCTGTTTGTACAAATCCGGTTGTGCAACTGACGGTACCATTTGCTGCAATACTGGCATTGGCTGTACCAGGTGTAGTACAAGCTAAGTCGCACAAACAAAAGCAAGCAATCAGATACGAAAAAGATGAAGACTGCGCACCACTTTTAATTGACTTCTTTTTATGTTCTTTCAGTCAAACCGTGGTCCATGACCAATTGGCACACAAAGTGCGAGAGAGGGGTGATAGCCAACCATGGCAAGAAAACAAGAAAGAAAGTGTAGTTTCTCAGCTAGACATGTGGGTTCGGTTTATTCTGGGGGGTGAAATGAGTGTATCATTATTTTAAAGCTGTCGAGCGAGGACTCAAACTATCCAGCGAGCTATCGAGTAATTCAGTACTCGATACACGACACTGAGTCGATATTAATTAATTCCTTTTCAAGACAAAGTACAGTAGCCATACATGTACATACTGGCAGTTACAATCTCTTTGCCTCATCTTCAAGGCTGGCATAAACACAAGAGTAATGAGCTCGTAAGCTGTCCCTTATTTTCACCTCCCATGTAAAACTGACACCATCCGTACCATGTATCACTATTTTTTTTAATGGCACACCAATATCACACTATGCTACCTGCCTGGATATAAGTTTGTGGTCAGATGATGTACATATTATCAGTTGTCTGAGGATTGCCTTAGCTTTGCTATGCGCACAGTACTGTCTATCAGCTGGATCTCTTTTGCGTACTGCGGCTTCTGATTTTCCAAATTTCGCAGTGTTTTTGCATACTGCCGATGTACTGCCGTGTGCACTGTATGAATTGTTTTGTTTTTGATACGCAAATGCTTGTCGGTGGCTGGATTTGCTTGCGCAAAACATGTGGGACTTGCACCACGACGTGATATTTTGTGCTGCGCGTACTCGAAGCATGGCATGCACTCGCTTTGGCACAGGGATATCCATCGCTCAGCTTGAGCTTGCCATGCTTCTACATACTTATCTGTAGCTGATCGATCCCCTTCAATTTTCCGAATTTTGCTCAAATTCTGTACTGCAGACGGAGAAGTTTTCCGTACAAATGCGGAAAAATACGGAAGGTTGGCAGCACTGTGTGCATGAAACGCAGCGCTACAACAATGACCTTTTGGCCATTTCAAAAAAGATTAGCAATCACGTTTTGTGGTCTTAAAAACTATGAAGATAAGGGAAATCCGGACAACTAAGTTGAGCTTATCAGAGCATGGCAAATTTTGCTGTAAAGGTTTCGGAACAATTGGAACAGCCGTTTTAAGGAGGTTCCAACCTTCTGCGCTGCACAACCGATCTCGCGCTCTTTTTTCCTGGGCAAAAGTCTTGTTTTTGCCAATAAGTGCCATAAATTGGGAAATTCCCATCTCAACTTACTAAAATTTGAACTCCGCGATCGACAGCCATATCAAAGAATATTGCTTCATACTACACCTGTAGTCTTCCCTCGGCCCCATCGAGGTTCCTGATGTTCTCTCTTCCTTTTTTTTGTCAGTGGGTATAGCAGGGCATGTTTTCAAAAAGCATCGCTGGTAAAGGGATGATTGCCCTCGTCTTCTGGGATGCTGGCGTGGCTAAGTGATGCTGCCCCAAGAACTCTTCTAAGGTGAGGTAATGTTGGCTTGATGGAGTTTTGTTTGTAGCTTGTTCTTGTACGCTGTGCCATGGCTCGTTTGTAGAGACCCATAAATCGTGCCAATATTGGGCCAATATTAAGGGGTATGCCAATTTCATGGTTCCCTTCAAAAGATTTGCGCGGGCTTTGGAATGTCGATCTACATCCCAAAGCAAACCTACCTGCAAAATTTGAGCGAAATCTTAGAGACCAATTTGCACATATGTTCTGGTTTTCTCAGACATGCTCTCTTAAGGCCAAAACGAGAATCATTCAGGAGGCTGTCTTGAAACATGTGTAAACAGGCGAATGGTGACAACACAGTGATTTATGGGTCCGGTCGCTGAGCGCAGGGATGCGACAAATGCATTTCCATATTCTGAGTTTCGGAGAAACAACTGGACATCATGCACATAGATTGCACAGCATTTTATCAGCTTCCTTACGTATGCATCTACCAGTCCACTGCCATTTTCCAGCTTGAGATCCACCTCCATTGATATCACAGTTGGCATTCTGTGACGAGAGCGTTTTGAATGCACCATAGGTGCATGTTACTTCACCAGTGGCGTCAGCGATCTCCTGAACGTTTCCAAGATCAGCGTGCGAGCAACCTGCATTCAAACAAATATTCAAAATCACAAACATGAAAGCACTGATAACCATGGAAACAAGAAACAAAACAACAACCAGTGAAAAGTATCAACACCAAATTTCACTTCAAGTGCGATTTTCTCAAAATCATGTGCCGCGGGATAAGGTCCCTTTTCACTTGCGCTGGCTCCAATGATAATAACAAGGACAATGAGAGAAGCAACAGCGATAGTGCAGCACCAATCACATCAATAGGAACAAACAGCAGAGCGCAGCTGCAAAAGATAGAACAGAAACTTGCCCAGCAGCAAAAGCAACACCAATTTCATTCTTGTGTTCATCACAATCGCTGCCACTGCTAACATCGCCGCCACAACTGTTATAGACTTCAATCACCTCGTTGCAATGTCAACATGGCTGCGTATTGCTCTCGTTGGACATTATCTTGCTGCATGCTTCGTATTATTTGTTGCCGGCTTACGCATGTCCGCAGTGCATTCCATCTTGATATGGGTAGCTTAGCTGTCAGTCACTCATTGTTTCCAACACTGTTACTCATAGTCGAGTTGTCTTGGACTGCTCTAACTTCGTACCTGTGTTACGTATGTGTTTGGGCATCCCCATCACTTTGATCGATGAGGTGACTCGGGCGTTCCTTCGTTTCTGTTTTCAAGTTCCCGCTTTTTCCTTCTATTCATGTTTTGTGTCGAGTGTTCTAGTGCTACGCGCGCATGCCCCACTGTTACCTACTAATTACATTCATGGTGAGAAATGCTTCAGAGACTGCCGTTGACGGCCCGTGTGGCAATCTTGCTGTGATAGTCCTGTTTTGTCTTTGTACTTTGGCCCGCGGGTCTCTCCATGTCAGGCGAAATAGCACGTCACAGTACATTTGAGACCAGCGGGAAGAAGATGACGACGTCCACTAATTTAGTATCTGTGCACACGAATGTGTTGTGTGTGTGACTTTGTGTGTCAGCTATGACATCAAACCCTGTGGTGCCATGCCCAACATGTAGGTGGTAACCATCCTGCAAAGTTGGACTGCTGTAGGTTGTTGCACGATCGTGCGGGCAACCATACTCCGAAGTACATTTTGAAATTCTCTTCGTATTATACCTTCTACCATTGAAATTCAATTTTCTTGCTGAGAGGGGTAGCTTGCAACCTCGATATGGCTTGTTCCAGGCATGCCTTGAAGCGAAAGCCTGTTGAAGTAGTGGCGGGGATCTGCCCTGCAACTGCTACAACAAAAAGTGATTCGATCTGAGAAAGCGTGAGACGACGAAACTGGGTTGAATATGGAGTATTTCAAGCCTCTTTAGACGAATATGGAGTTCTTTTTGGAGATAGACGTCGCGTCAAACGATATGGTTTCTAACTTCTGGCGTCTGATGAAGCCAGGGATCATTTGTCCAGTCATGTCGGCAGCCTAACCGTCGGTAAGCTTGTGAGTAGGATCTTGTTCTGCTCGATATGGCAGATCACAAACAAATTTGATATCGCACAAATTGAACTGTGCATTGTGCGTACGGTATTTAAAACACTCAGAAAATCGCAAAGTGTCTCTGTGTGGCTGTCCTACGTCACGAGAAACTCCAATCAGGCTCTAATGTCCTCTGTCTTCTTGATTGAATGTTGTTATGTCTTGCATTACATATAATATAATTAGTATAATATAATTATATACTTTGAGTAGTAATATCACTACCCCATGATTTGTAGTTTTTGCTCTGTTCTTCCTCTTATCGCATGCTCAAATAATGTCTATGGTATTTTCCTTGAGTAAGAAACGTGTACAAGTGCAAGATGACCTTGTCTGTCTGAATGTCCGATACTGAATAAGCGTGATTTTGAGAAGCTGGGAGGTGTAGTTTCAAACCTTTGCAAACCCACTATTCGTCTAAAGGGTTTCTCTGACAAAACCATCACATGTCTGGGCGGAACCGAAATGAAGGTTACAATGCGCAGTACTAATGTCTCGTACCAGGTCCTACTCAGAATGGTTGATAATGCAGGACCATCTCTCCTAGAGAGAGATATACTGGAGCGTTTCAAGCTCCCATGGAAAGAAGTGTTTGCGGTCAAAGCAGAATTGATCAGGCCATTGAAAAAGCTGAGTTGCGCGAGGAAATCATTTCACAGTTTCCAGAGCTTTTTGACTCCTCTTCTCTGGGCAGATTGAATACGTCTAAAGTTTCGCTTAAGTGGATAATGCCAGACCGTTTTTTTTTGAAGGCGAGGTCCGTACCATTTGCTATTACCGAGAAGTATGATGTGGCTCTCGAGAAATTGGAGAAATCAGGGATCATTCGCAGTCGATCAGTCAAGATGGGCATCTCCCACTGTTACTACTCCCTGGTCCGTGGTACAGACGTTATAACACGCGCACTCTCAAGCTGGGATCCGGATGTTCATGTAGTGACACGTAGATCTACCTACTCCCGCGCGCTATGAAAAGTGTTGCAAGATCTACAAGTAAGTAAGTAAATTATCGTGTCCGTTCCCGAAGGGAACTCACGACGGCCGCTAACACACGGTAAATCCTACAAGTAGTACCGGTAATTTTGGCAACATTTCGGACAAGTTGTTCTCACTTTCCAAGTAGCTTGTTGTTTTTGTGATCGAGACCACAAATTTGTCACGATTTGTTTGTGCATGTGTGTGTATATGTGTGTGTGTGTGTGTGTGTGTGTGTGTGTGTGTGTGTGTGTGTGTGCACGTGCTGTGCATGCGTGCGTGCACATGGATGTGTACATGAGGGAGCGGCTGTTCAAAACTATCTTAAAATAGTTTTTTATTAAACTACTAAAAATACCAAGAGTTTTGTATTGTATTGTAATATATTGCTTATATTTTACATCGCAAGTCAAAACGGGCAATCATGCCCAATGTTATGATGGCGATGGCAAGGGAGAAGAGATTAAGAACAAGATTAGATATCCCGGATTATGGGGAGTGAAGAAAACAGTGAGTCTAGGAATCTCTCCTTAGATTATCTTAACACTGGTCATGAAAGTAGACTTTCAATGGACATGAGAGTTGCGATGTGCTAGGGCAGGCCAGCTAGAGGGGAATGCTACGCTGTGAGCTTCCGAAGTACATCTATTCTGTGTTTGTTTTATGTGATGCATTGCAAATCCAAGGACAATCATCCCAAAACGGATAAAATCTAAGATTACCGTGAAGAATATTCGATATTCGTTCGATAAGGAAAGTAATCGTTTGTTAACCTTATAGAGTATTCGTTGCAAGCCTAGTTTCTTTTGATAATAACTGAATTGGGGAATTGTGTGTTGCTCCCTACATGGGAGCTCGCGGTTTTCCTGCCGACTTGAATTCTCACTTGACTGACTCACGACTGCCATCCAGAGCACACGAGAATTCCACCGAACCGTCCACACGGTAAGCCTGCAAGAAAGCACCACTCCCTGCTCAATGCACAGTGTTTCGGGGAATTCACCCCTCATCAGTTGAGCTTGTGTAGGCTGAGGAAGATTGTGCCTGAAGAGCACCACTTATATATTGCTCTCCAGGCACAAACATCACCAGGGATACAAACCTCCAGAGACGCTCCGTTTCCAGCGCGGCAAACATCTCGTGAACACCAGATAGTAGCGTAAGTCAGTGTCGCTCATGGAGGTGCTGAACAAGCGCTGAGGACCGCTGGCCATTCACAATGTTCTTGCCTCCAAACCGTCTATTTCGCAAGCCCGCGCTGGGGACAAGAATGTGAAGAAGAAGTTGGTGCGACTTCGGCGATACTTGGGGGAATTGTGTGTTGCTCCCTACATAGGAGCTCGCGGCTTTCCTGCCGACTTGAATTCTCACTTGACTGACTCACAACTGCCATCCAAAGTACACGAGAAGTCCATCGAACCGAATAACTGAATTGGACAATCATTATAATGGAATAGACACAGAGTCGTCATCACTGAATAAATCACTTACACTTAGGAAGCTTCCCTCACTGACATGCCTCTTGCATAGGTGTGAAACACAGGTGTTGGGAAGGTGACAGTGACTGAATGTGACAATATGCCTTGGTTCTGGTGGTGAATATCTCACCTACACCGTTGCCACTCAACTCACTGTATCTGTTATTCTTATAGCGCCATATCATGCTGTACTTGGTGGAAGGATTTGTTCTCATGATATGTTTTGGTGCTCGCGTTAAATGTCTCACTTACACCTCTGCTACTTAAGTTTCTGTATTTCACTTCCTCCGTTGTGTTCTTGTCATGATCTTTCTGTCGGCATTAGACAAACATGTCAGTGATCTATTCCCTACATAGAGTAGCCGCAGCGTCGTCCATCGTTCTGATAGGCTTTTGAACCTCCGAAAAGCGTGGAGTCCTTGAAAAAATCTGCAAAGCATAACCATTTCTTGACAGGATGCCAGCAGAACACAACCCAGGCGCATGACACCGAAGTGCGAAAATAGGGAACAGTTTGACGGACTGGGTGGCTCGAAGAAGTGCCCAGAATTCATGCAGAAGCCGGCCAGCCCCTGCTGGACCAGCACGATGGTACAGCAGGTCAGCACACAGCTAAAATAAATCAATGCACGTGTGTTTGCAGCTCTGGGGAAAGCAAAAGGGTTCGACATACGGGTTGTTGTTCAGCCGGCGCAAAGTCCCGATCTCAAAGTCGACTACTTGGCGAACTTCCACAACCTGAAGACAGACGCGTCACCCGCACTTTGGTGCATGCTTCGTATTACCTTGTTGCCGGGTTCGCGCATGTCTATGGCAGTTCCATCATGGGGCTCTCCCATACGTTGTTGCCTTTGACTTTGCTCAGCTCTTTCTTGTTCCTACCACTATCAACATAACTTGTAAACTAATTTCTCTTCGTGTTGCTTGTTGTTTGCCGAAAGCATGAAAGAGTACTTCGAAGTAGGTTACACCATCAATAGCCAGATGACGACCCTGGAGGACCTAGGCCACTCAGTATCAAACAGCGCCAGGCGCCCCCAACATCTACTCCCACCTGCTAGAGCCAGCACACACACCCGTGC